CCACATCGGGCTCCCTGCTCGGCAGGGAGTCTGCTTCTCCCTCTGACCCTCTTCCTTCTCGTGCTCTCTATCTCTCATTCTCTCTCTCTCAAATAAATAAATAAAAAATCTTTAAAAAAAATCACATAATAAGTGGAAAGCACTCAATTTAGGGCTAACTCTTAGTAAATATTAGTCATTCTTTTTTTTGGTATGTTTGGCAGTTTTGTGTTCTGGTGACACAAATATTTTTGTATTTATTTATCTCCTACTATATTCCTCCATTTGGTAATCATAAAGAGTCAGAATTTTGTAGTTGGAAAGAATTTAGAATAATATAATTCTATCCTTTCATATATCAAATGAAGAGAATGAAGATTGAAGAGGGAATAACTTACACTAAGCCATTGATTCTTGAGGTTTGAGGATCTCTATTTCTATTGCCAATGAGGGTAATAAATAATGATTGCAAGGTATGTTTAAACAGTGTTTTATGGTTTTCAAATTGCTTTCACATTCATTATACATCACTTGGTCCTCTCAACATCCCTGTAGGATATGCAGGATAGGTTTCTTTATACTTGTTTTGCAAATGTGGAAAGGTGCTCCTTAGCTAGCTTTCTAGGTCATAAAGCTAATTCTTGACTAAGTCAACATTAGAATTCAAATCACAAGACTTTAGACTCCTAACTGAAAAACTTCTAATGACATCTCAAATCTTCATTCATCTCACATCTCTGGATTTCCAGATACGTTCACAGAGTTCATAGGGCACTAGAATTGAAAGGGACATTAAAAATTCTCTGATTAACCTCCTCACTGAAGTCCATACAGATTAGATGACTTGTCCAACTACACATGTTTATTGAATTTACTGAATGAAATGAGACTCTTCCAGTATGTTCAAGGAAATTACAGTTGTATATTCCATGTGTCCCAGTGGCATAACCCTAAAAACCCTAAAGGTAGAATTCTCACGCAAGTGCATATTCAAATGTCCCTTTATCAAACTCTTCAACTTCATCTTCCCATGTAGAGGAGGGCATGCTACTATACGGGTCTAACAGGATTTTGAAGCATCTGATAATAAGAAGCCCCAAGAAGATACACAAAATCCCAACAAAAGCAAAGCCAGTTTTTTGCTCCAGAGTCAATGAAAAAGCTGATACTTCGTTGACACTCATCTTAGCTGAAGAGTTGCCACAGTAGGTACTACTCATTATTCACTGTCACATCATTATGGCTCTTCAGAATTCCTGCTGGAGTCACCTCTTGGCCTAGATACAAAATTGGACTCAGTTTAGTGTTATTCATGTATGGTATTGAGCAGGTAATTGTTTTCTAAAATCTGGCAGTTTTCAAACCCTCTTGACTTAACTCACAGAAGGTGTGTGAAAACATCAGAAATGGATCAGGATCAAATTGGCATTGGAGATGCTACTTCTGTTGTAGTAATTACAGAATTGCCTTTGTGGATACCTGAAACTATCTATATACACTAAATATAAAATCAGGTATGAAAGTGAATATTCAAATAATTAACCCTAGAAGCTTTTGATTCATGGTGAGATGGTTAAGTCACTGCTTCCTTGACCTGAATTTTTACTTCATCTTTGCGTGTGTAGATAACACCATAAATAATCATAGGGTGTGAGCTGGTCAAGCTCTCTAAGGTCCATGTTTTAAGGTCTATCTCCAGTGCCATTTTGTCTGATACAGATTCCAATCCTTTTAAATAGGTGTAATGTCTTCTTTCTTTTTCATTCTCTTAGCTTTTAGACTTATGTACTTGTGTTTTCTTTCCCACTACCACTCCATATGCTAAATTTTAATTTCTTAAAGAGATAAATTGTGTTTTTAAGATTATTTTAATAAGACCTGTACCCAACATAGCATCCTGCAAATAGTAAGCAGCAGTAGCTATGGATCATTAACCATCTCCCCACCATCCGCATTAGCTTTCAGCACCCTAAATAAACATAAAACCCAAGTTAAACAGCATATTTTCTATAAACATTCAGCTTCAAGATGAGCTCCCCAGTTCTCTTCCCAAGCAGATTCCCAGTCCTAAGCTCCTTCTGTACTGAGATTCTAAAACTACAGCAGAAGTGTTCAGAAAGTATGTGTTGGATTGAAGCAACATAGAATTTCCCATTTGATGTCTTAATGTTAATTAAATTAATTAATAAAAATTAAGATCAGTGAATTAAATCAAATGGTTACTAACCCATAGCCACCCTTCTTGAGGGGACTTTTACCAAATAGCTTGTCATCCAAAAACAGAGAATGATAGATTTTTTGTGTTTGCATTTTTATTATTGCTTTTTCTAACAATTCTTGAGAATTACTTATTAAAATGGCTGACCCTTCAGATTTTTTTTTGGATTCAATTTTCAGAAAACAACTGATGTAGAAGAGGTACGGGATGTAAGGAGTAAAAGGAAGTAATTAATAAGAACAAATTTGTAGCTTTCAAAGTTATTCACCAATGAATAAGCCAGTTAATATTAACCAATATCTGGGACACCTGGGTGGCTCAGATGGTTAAGTGTCTACCTTCGGCTCAGGTCATGATCCCAGTGTCCTGGGATTGAGTCCCACATCGGGCTCCTGGCTCAGCAAGGAGCCTGCTTCTCCCTCTCCCTCTGCCTCTCTCCCTGCTCATGCTCTCTCTCTCTCTCTCTCTGTATCTCTGTGTCTCAGATGAATAAATAAAATCTTTAAAAACATATTAACCAATATCTTATTTTGTAATAGTTTGGATTACAAAACAGCTTTATCTTCAAACCTTAAGTGTCAGGAATATTTAATACATTCTGTAGTATGCTGTTATTTGACTTGTTTTTTAATAAAAGGAAAAATATTGTTTCGAACTTCTCTGTTAAACTTCTTTCCATCAAATCATTTTTTCTGTCCTAATATGTATATAGTGATTATACTCTAATTTTTTTTAATTTAGTATCACTTAGGTGGCTCAGAGTGATTTTTCTGATTAATCTCTTGTACTATTTATCCTGTGGAAGACATGAGACTGGACTGAGTATCTAATGACCTTGGGACTTAACAAGGACTTTTTTCCTGATGAAATCTCTACTTTTATTGCTTTTTTCAGCTAAAGGTCTTTTGTTGAGATCCATTTATTCTCTGGTTCATTTGCTTAACAAGTGGAGAAGCTGCAAAGCAGGATGTTTCTACATGGAGATGTTGAACGAAACCTTTGTTGTGTAACTGACTGATTCAGCCAAGTAGCGAGTTTGAAGTATTTTTTCACTAGAGTCATGACTTTGCTAGGTTATATCACTTGAATATTTCAGAGGACACGTGGGTACGAGGAGGCAATCAACCTGGTTTATTGGTGGACACTGTGGTGTGGGGTGTCTAGGCTCCCTTCAATGGAGGACTTGTTACCCAGCAGCTGGGAGTGCTGCCGCCAGATAGTCTTCAGCTGTAGCCCCTTTCATGGGGAGCTGCCTGCCTCATGCAAGGTCACTTCTGTTCCTAGGGCAGACCATTTTTAATGACTGATTGATGCAAGAGTAAAAGGCCTGGTCGTCTTGACTCAAAGGAGCACAACTCTGAAAGACCGTTCTAGATCTAGAGTTGTACATGGAGTAAACCAAGACAGTCACTGCTTCCACATTACAGCTCAACTTTTGCCCACTCCTGCCTACTTCCCCACTCTTCCACAAGTGTTGAGCCCAAGGGTACTACTTAATAAACGTTCTCGCACTAAACTCTGCCTCAGAGTCTGGTTTCGGAGGAACCAAACTTGCAACAATTGGTAGCACAAAAGTTAAAACATCTGGGCAGTTTTAAGAATCTGTACATTTTTCAGCTAGTTCATTTTGCCATTATGTAGAAACAACCTAAACTGTGTATAATTATGGTATTAGTTCAATTTATTTATGTGTTTTTAAAAATCATAATGCAGACAGAGACACAGGGTCATAGCTGATCATTAGAAGAGTTAAGTCATTTAGCTCTTAATGATTAATCCACTAATCTCTGTTATTCGTATTATTATGTTTTTTTTAAAGATTTTATTTATTTGACAGAGAGAGACACAGTGAGAGAGGGAACACAGGCAGGGGTAGTGGGAGAGAGAGAAGCAGGCTTCCCGCAGAGCAGGGAGCCTGATGCGGGGCTTGATCCCAGGACCCTGGGATCATGACCTGAGTCGAAGGCAGACACTTAATGACTGAGCCACCCAGGTGCCCCTGTTATTCTTATTAAAATGCATCAACTGACCAAGCGGACAAAAAGAAAAAAAAAAAGAGGCATTTCCTAGCTGTAGCAACATAACACTCAACTCATTTATCACTATTAAAATGAAAACACAGTATCTTCAAATTTGAGATAAAAAATCCCTTATTAAATTATCTAACACACCAGATAATGCCTTGTTCTGAGAGTCTCAGACAATCTGTGAATTACTTTCCTTTTTAATGGAAAAATAACTAGTTCTCAACTACTGATTATAGTTCCCAACATATCATAGGTATCCCAAAAAATATTTGAACTGAATCAAAGTAAATTTATTGAAAAATATAATTTTTGATGAATAAAGTTCTGGTTTCTGAAAATCTGATTTTTAGGCATCCAGAAAACATGTCAAAAAACATTTAACATTTAGTTGAAATGAATAAGAAAACTTTTGTTTGATTTAAAAAAAAATTGGCCTTGAAGATAAATATCAAAATTCAGCAGCTCAGAGTTCTGTGTTTCTTGTTCATTTTTATCAGATTGATTAATAATAGCATTCCCAGAAAGATTCACATGATTTGTACTCTAAGTGATTCTAACCTGTAAGGGAAAGGTCTTTGCACAAATAGGAAGAAAACAGCATAGGTTTCTACAAAGGCGATAGAAGGGATGGATGAGGGAATAAACTTGTATTTAACATATACTGTATCCCAAACATTGCTTCACATCTGTTATTTTATTTAACCCCCATAATAACCATACAGGGTTAGTATTATTATCTTTAACATCTTGATGACAAAAGAGATGCAAAGATTAACAAATTTGGAGGGAATAGAGATTTCATTCATTTAGGGATCAGGAAAGTTTTTCTTGTAAGAGATTGTATTTGAGCTGAGTCTTGAAAGACAGAAGATTTAGATATGTGAGGAAAGAAACACCATGACAATAAATATGAAGGTAGAAAAGTGCTGAATTTGTTCAGAGGAGCAATTTGTTCAGAACAATTTGGCACAAGTAAAGGGGAGTATGGGAAACAAAACATTGGAAAGGTAGGTTGAGCCAAACTGTGAAATCTCTTGACTGTCAGGGTAAGACTTTGCAATTTATTTGCCTAAAGGCTGAGTTGCTCGATGATGAGAATGAAATAGACAAAGATTTCAGGGAGGGAGCATCATGGGAAAGAAATGGTCCAGCTGAGAAGCAGTTCGGGCTTGGACTAACAAAGTAGAAGTGTGGGAGAGGAAATGGGTTTGAAAGATATTTATAAAGATATTGGGGATTGTTTTGGCAAATGATGGAAGGTAGCAGACCATGGAGAGAGAGAGGTATCAAAGATGACTGCACTCTATTAAGCCTGGACAAGTGTAAAGATAGTGATTTCATTAACCAAAATAAAGAAAATATGAGCAAAGTGTAAATTTAGAAAGTAAATTAAGAGTTTAGTTCTGGTCTTAGTGAACTTATGGTGTCCATACCTGGCACATAGTAGACATTCAATAAGCAGTTTTAAACAAATTAACCCAGATCATGTTGTTCGGCATAAAATTGTTGGTGGGGAGAATATCTTAAGGATATTATTTTTTTTTAAAGATTTTATTTACTTATTTGACAGAGAGAGACACAGCAAGAGAGGGAACACAAGCAGGGGGAGTGGGAGAGGGAGAAGCAGGCTTCCTGCAGAGTAGGGAGCCCGATGCAGGGCTCGATCCCAGGACGTTGGGACCATGACCTGAGCCGAAGGCAGCCACTTAACCGACTGAGCCACCCAGGCGCCCCTCTTAAGGATGTTATTGACAAATAAAACCTGTGTGGAAGAATGCCTCCGGGATGAAGAGAGTTTAATACATAGAAGCATTTGTAGATCAAAACTTAAGAGAAGGAAAGAATTGCTGAGTTTTGCAGAAAAGGGAAGAGCAAGGAGGATGCTAGCTGCATTCAAATATTTCAAGTGTTACTGTAGGAGCCAGATCTACTTGTTCTGGATTGATCCAGAAAGCAATTTTGATGTAAACCCATTAAGATTCTATTTGCAGTCACTAAAAAGGATTGAAGATGAAAGAAGCCTAGCCATGAGCCTCAGAGAATCCCTCTCTTACAAGAAGAACGCAGGATCTGCTAGTGAAGTTGTATAAGAAATGATCAGAGTCATAAGGGAATCTGTGGTAGGAAGTTCACTTGGAACAAAGGAAGCTAGAGTTTCTTCTCTTTTTTTTTAAATGTTTTATTTATTTATTCATGAGAGTCAGAGAGAGAAAGAGAGAGAGAGAGGCAGAGGCAGAGGAAGAGGGAGAAGCAGGCTCAGCGCCTAGCAGGGAGCCCGATGCGGGACTCGATCCCAGGACCCTGGAAGGCAGCCGCTTAACCATCTGAGCCACCCAGGCGCCCCAGGAAGCTAGAGTTTCTCAAGGTGTTGGTAAACAGTGTCAAATTCTGCAGTGGTGATGGAAACTAAGTGCTGAAAAACAGGGCCTCAGGTTTGGCATTCAGAATTTTTTCATCATTTTAAAAATTTCGGTTGAATGTCCATGAGGGACACTAAGTTGAAGAGGGTTTTGGAGTGATGGGTAATGAATAAATAAAGCCAAATGATAAAAGAAACTTGACAAAAAAGAGTTTTTACTTGCACAAAAATTTACGTGCAAAAGTTTAGATCTAAAGACCAATTATTTCCAATAATAAAGATATGAGTCTATATTCAACTTTTAAAAGTAGAGCCAAGTAAACTCAGTTGGGGTTCAAAGAACTAGGAAATTTCCATTTGTAACCAAAACTTGGGGTGATAAAGAACAGGGGTTTTATTAATATCTCAAAAGGAAGAACTTGGATTTGTATATTCATTTTAAATTCTACCTTATGCTAAAGATGAAAACAAAATACAAGTCAAGGTAAACAACTAAAGGGGTAGTATTTAAACGTTGAAAAAAAGTCTGGCCATTGCTGTAAGCTGTGTCTACACAAGCAAATAAATAAAAAGTTAAGCAATTGCCTAACAATATGTCCAGCAAATAGGTGCTCTTGGTATTTTCAGGCCTAATTTTTTCAAACATTGCCTAAACTTCCCATTTTACTTGCTGTGTGAAATGAACAACTTGTCTCATTTCAACAGCAAGTCTAAAGTTGAGAATAACATCAAAAACTAATGATGTAATGTATGGTGATTAACATAACGTAATAAAATAAAATAAAGTTTTTGAGAATATATTGTTTAGTGAAATGAGCTTTGTACCTTTCTACTGATATAGAGCATAATTTGGTAAAAAAAAAGTATTGCTAGTAACAAAATACTGTTAAAAATAAAGGGAACTCTCCAATTACAATACTGACTTCTTCATAATTAATAAGATATCTGGAATTACTCAATGAATGTGGATAAAAGATACATTTTCACTTTCTCTAATCTGTGACAGAGATGGAAAAGCAAAACAAATCATTAGGTTCTGTAAAACAGACATTTTAATGCCTACCTCAGAAGGAAAACATCATCTTAATATCTTGTTTACTGGGAAATAGAAAAATGAGAGACATTTAGACCATGAAGTTACAAAACCAGGATAAATAAACCCTGTTGAGAAAAAAGAAATGACTTTTCAAAAAAAAAGAGTAGATGTAAAATTGTGTGGTAGAAGTTATTTTAAATATGCTACACCACAAAAAATGGATAAGAAGATCAACATTTAGGTACTTTAGAAATGAGCAATTGAGTTGAAAGTACATCATTTCCTTCATGGCAATTGTCAGGAACTGGGATTTTTAAGTCCTGATGAGTCATAGGATTGGGCCAGTGGTATACCTGTAGACCAAAAGGCCAAAATCTCACTCAATAGCTTTGTAGTTAATAACTAATAAACAAAGTCTTTCTATGATCAGTCATACAAATCATACCATTGTGAGTATTCAAGTGAAGATAACAGTATTTTTATACTGTTATATATATCCTGTTATACTGTTATGTATTGATATATATATATCCTTTCATACACACGAATGTTGTATGTGATTTTTTCCTTCTGTGAATAAGTTTACTGATTAGAAATATAAAATTTCACTTTTCAGAAACCTATAGTTAGTTTGCATGCCACAATGAGCAATTACAGAAACCAATATTGAAAAGAATATGCCCATAAAAAAAGAACCTCCTATATTTTATTTTAAAATCAACAGGCTTTTTTCCTCTGGTTTATTTATCTATTAATGATAGTTCAAACAGTGTATCTGAAATAACACTATTATAGCGGAATATGGTAATCTCTGTGAAAAGTATTTTGATGCTGGATATCAGATACAGTAATCTTTAATGCTAATAATATGAATACTCATGATTTCATGGAATGAGACATGTAAGAAAACCCAGGCTTAAAAAATAATGAATCCTCCCATCCACACATATACACATCCCCCACTAAATATCAAGGTTATTAAATCCCATTCAAAGTAAACAGGGAAAAGAAGCATTATTCAGGCCACTTTTGCACAGAGCTAGTTAATCATTAGGAATGGGATGTGTTGGAATTAAAGGAAAACCTTAAATTACAAACCCAGATGTCTTCATCATGATGAAGTGCATAAATTTCAGGCCTTCCCAGAGATCCAAAACCCTGGGATCTGCCAGAATCCCCACCCCCCTCGCCTCCAACCTTTCAGATTTCAACCCTAAGAGAATCTTCACATGGCTCCCCAAGGACTCTGACATTGGATCTTTTCAAAGCACTGGATATCTGGTCTGAAAATTTTCAAAATATCTCACTAGAGAAACCTGGACTGTCATTATCGTTCTGCCTTGTTTGTCTCCAGTTCTCTTTGGACATATTAAACTAAGGAAGCATAGAAACCTACAAAACATTATGGGAGAAGCATCAGAAAGCTAACTGCAAACACAAAACACATTTTTTTTTTTCTTTTTTGGCACCAGCAGCAGCAGCAGCAGCAGCGGAAACATCAGGGCTCTTTTCTCCTTTAGAATCTGAACTGAGCAGACCTGCAGGCTGCATCCCCCACCCCCTCCTCCCCTTTCCCGCTTCCTAGCTTCAGAAATACAAGAGAATGAAGACTGGCTTCTCATCCGGACCTTCACTGGAACCCTGTCAGTTAATGCGGAGGGCAGGGGGAGAAAGTTACTTCGCAGGCAGCGATGTCTCACCTTCCATGCTTGTTGCCATGGAGATGAAATCCAGCGAGTAGACTTAAGTGTTGGCAGGTTTGTCCGTGTTCGCTGATCGGTTCAGTAACAATGTAAAAGGCGTGTCCCAGGAACCTGCGTGGAGTCACAGGACCGTGGTTAGCGCTCTCCTGGCCTACGTGGGTAAATGTCTGTATCTGTCAGTGAGAGACAGAGGACGTGGCCGCCCGCGAAGTACGTGTGCGCGCGCTAGAGTATTTGCAGGAAAATGTGCCTGAATTTATTCGATGTGGCAGAGAGTAAATATTTGCGCGCGCGCGTGTATGTGAAGGCGTCTGTTTGTGAGACAGAGAAGAGTTGGGAAATGAGAGGGGGAAGGGAATGGGCCACCGCAGCAACAGGCTCTATCTATTCCTCAGTTTTGCTAAAAAGAAAAAAAAAAATAGGTGCTCATTTTCATTCATACCACACTGCAGGTTAGCAATCGGAGTTCATCACCCATTTTTCTTCCTAAGGCAGTGGGGGTTTAATTAATTTATTATTAAAATCCTTGTTTTCCTCTCCTCTGCATCAGTAACTGTGCCGCGGGCATTTTGTTGTGCTCCTTGACCGCAGTCTCAGCCGAGGAGTAGACGCTAAATAGGTCTTCCCTCTCATCCAATAAGAGAAAGACGAGAGTGAAAGTGTATTGGTTTAATTGGGGACCGCATGCGTCATTTGGAGTTATTTTCTCCTATTCTTCACCTTTTCTTTTCTACGGAAACTCAACTGGATCCGGCCCTCACCCCTGCTCCCCCCACCCCGCTTTTTAGGGATTGGCGTCTAGGCGCTGACCGTAGTGCTGAAAATTGCGTAGTAAGATCTACATAGGAGCTAGAATACACCAAGACGGGAATGCTCCGTAAAAACCCATATGTGGGCGCCTGGGTGGTTCAGTTGGTTAAGCGACTGCCTTCGGCTCAGGTCATGATCCTGGAGTCCCAGGATCGAGTCCCGCATCGGGGTCCCTGCTCGGCAGGGAGTCTGCTTCGCCCTCTGCCCCTCCCCCCCTCATGTGCTCTCTCTCTATCTCTCTCTCATTCTCTCTCTCAAATAAATAAATAAAATCTTTAAAAAAAAAGCCCATATGTAGTTGCAAGGCACGTTTTCTAAACAATATTCAGTACATAGACTCTAAACTTAAACGGCATTGAAAGCAAAGCAAAACAAAACAAGAGAAAACAACAACAACAACAAAACCTCTTCCCCTCATCCTTACTTAGGGGTCTTGTTGTCCACTCAATTACAAGTGTCCAATTCTATTCGTGTTTGGGTACTATATCCAGAACCTTCAAACTGCAAACACCTGTAGATTCTCTAAAAACTTAATTATTGATCCCGTAAATTATTAAATTGTCAGCGACTGGGGAAAATGTAGATGCCGAATTGGTTCATTGTTAATATAAAAAATGCTGAAAGCACATGATTGTAAAGATGTGTTAGAATTCAATAATAAAGTGAAGACAATGTGTATGGTCATTTAGAGTATTTACTAATTTAGGAAATTCCATGGTCCGATAAGAAATGGGCGATGTATAAATGGGAGTTCATATAAGACTATACTCAAAAATATTCTTTTTAATTAAAAACTATTAAACACCCTGGGGCACCTGGGTGGCTCAGTCGTTTAAGCACCCAACTCTTGGTTTCTGTTTAGCTCATGATATCAGGGTCGTGAGATTGAGCCCCACAGTGGGCTCAGCCCTTACCCTGTAGCCTGCTTAAGATTCTCTCACTTTCCCTTCTCCCCTCAAATAAATAAATAAATCTTAAACAAAACAAAACTATTAAACACCCTATAACATAGGTGAACTGCCCACCAATGAAGAAAGTGGAAAAAGTTCTTCTTCCAGTAACATGTTCCTAGCCATGGCTTTATTGACTCTTTTTTTAGGCTTGCTAAGGGCTCCATCCTATTTTGGTAGTATGTGCTAGAGCAATGCCTCCTGAAATCTAATATGCATATGAATCCCCTCAGGATCTTAAAAAAATGCAGGTTTTAATTGAGTAAGAGTGAGTTTGAGTCTCAGATTCTGCATTTCTAACAATGTCCCAGGTGATGCCAGAGGTTGCTAGTTCAGGACGACATTTCAAGCAGCAAGGTTCTAGAAATACTGTATTCTGGCAATGCAGTCACTCATAGAGTATGGGAAAGGAGGTCGTTTTCTTCCATCTATTATTCTATGTATGTTTCTAGACTGTTGCAAGAATGTTTTATTCAAATAAGTTCAGAAGTTAACCATTTTATTCGCACAATATTAATAAATTGTTTATAACTCAAACTGCTTATAAATTTGATCATTTGGTTTTGATTTTGATATTGTCTGAACACATTCTACAGTTTACATCACTCTATATTTTCATACTATAACCTGCAATCACCCATTCTCTTTGCAATCCAAACTCAAGGAAAAAAAACTAAGTTGCATGATTTTACTGCTCATGTATTGGCCCCACGCCAAGGATTTGTTGTCATGATTGGAGATTTTGACTTGTCAATTTATGACTTTAAGTATGGCTTCATACTAAATACTTATTATACTGATTTTACAAATCCGAATGTTACAGATCTAATTCTTACCCAGTTTAGAAAGTGAGATAGGGCCATTGTTTCATAGATCATTTGAGTAAATGCTGATCTGTCATGTCACTGACATAACACATGTATAGTTAGATTTTGAAGGTTCTTCTGGGTGGTTTTCTTCTTCTTCTTCTTTTTTTATTTTATTTTATTTTTTTTAAGATTTTATTTTTTTATTTGAGAGAGAGAGAATGAGAGATAGAGAGCACGAGAGGGAAGAGGGTCAGAGGGAGAAGCAGACTCCCTGCCGAGCAGGGAGCCCGATGTGGGACTTGATCCTGAGACTCCAGGATCATGACCTGAGCCGAAGACAGTCGCTCAACCAACTGAGCCACCCAGGCGCCCTCTTCTTCTTCTTTTAAATCCATACATATATCAGTTGTTACAGTGTTTTTAGTCAATGCTTTTGAATTGATGCCAAAGGTAAGTTTTGACTATATATTAGGTTCCTTGGTGTTAGTTAGTGCATGATCTTGACCTTTTTCAAGCTATATGAAAAGTGATGATGCTCTGGAAAGTCTGCAAAGTGGCTCATTCAGGAAAACGTAATGAATTAAAAATCCATTATGCTCCACTTCCTTTGCTAGTTGCTGGGATACAAAGGTAAACGATCTTTGGTCTCTGACCATGATGAGATACATTGCAAAACAACATGGCAAGTCTACTAAGTTGTATAGAAACACAGAGATTAATAACTTATATTTTATTTTCCATTGCCAAAGAAGTGATGGAGAATAGCAAAATAGACAAACCCAGAATACCTGCATTTCAGGTCCTTGTCAATACCTGCTGCTCAATTTTTATTTTAAAAAATTGTTGAAAGCTATGAATGCTTTTCTAAAGCACATGTGGTTAATCCATACTTCTCGATAGTCTATGATTTATTTTCAGAGCAATCCAAATTATTGGAAAGGTAAATATGTGGGTGCATTGTTTAGACCTTCCCCAAACAGAATTGCCTTTCTTATGCTTCAACATCATACTTTCAGCTTATATGCAAATATTCAGTATAAAACAATCCTCAGTTTACATGCCCTGCTCTATGTGTACTATAGGGTTGCTACTAAAGACTTGAACTTGCCCAACACATCACCTATTATTCCTTATATGAGATCTCTTTAAAAACATTTTTTTCATTGCCAATTTCATGAATTGAACTCTCATACGCCTCCTCCTCACTTAAACAACCAGCTAAGTGGTGTGTTCTCTTATACACAATGCGTATCATGTAATTGATCCCATTTGCCTTTTCTCTTAGTTACTAGGGATGTCCAAGTTAAATTAACAGCTAAAAATTAGCAACTTGTAAAATATTAAGGCCTTTATATTTGTGTTTTTTCTCTATTGCCTTGACTACACAATTTTGTTTTCTCAGGTATTGGTATATTGGTATATTATTTTCTTTTCATTATCTGTTTTTTTTTTAAGATTTATTTATTTATTTATTTGAGAGAGAGAATGAGAGAGAGAACATGAGAAGGGGGAGGGTCAGAGGGAGACTCCCTCTGATCCTCCCTCTTGAGCAGGGAGCCTGATGCAGGACTCGATCCCGGGACTCCAGGATCATGACCTGAGCTGAAGGCAGTCGCTTAGCCAACTGAACCACCCAGGTGCTCTCATTATCTGTTTTAATGTGTGTCCTATATAAATGTCCTCACAAAATCAGAAAAGAAGTAAAGAAATTGAAAGTAAGTAAATAAATACATTTATTTTTCTATTTTTTGGCCAAAAATGTTGACTACTGTGTGGGTATAGGTTAGTTGTTCCATAAGTTTGTTTTTAACAAGATACTAAAATATAGAGAAAACAATCACATAGTTAGCTATGAAGATTATAATTTATTATGACTACATAAATGTTAAGCTAGCAGAAGAAATTTTTAACTTATATGACTACAGATCAGCTTTATTTCAAAACATTTTGTTTCTCTGTTTCTCTTTCTATATCCTAAATAGTGTCCTTTATATGAGTAGTACTTTTTTTATGTCAGAGAGCAGAAGTGTTGATTATCTAACTTGCTAGAAGATGTGGCAACTATAGAAATTTAAAGAACATGACAGCCCCACTCTTATGAACATACTTTAGAATAAGAGTGTCACAAAGGAACTAAAAGCAAGAATTTCTAACAAGCTGGCTCAGGATTCTTTTCAGAGGAAAATTTTGCTTGCTGTGAATTCTTGCCACCCTGGCTCTGGCTGACTTCTTGCTCTCAAGCTTTCTATGGTGGGATCATCTCTTGAACTTATTAGGCCAACATGTTACCTTCAGCTTTTCATGGACATCTACATCTTGTCTGGCTGAAGTTTGATTATTCTTTCTAAACTAAAGTGTCTTAAATGTAGCTGGGTCTTTTTATTTGAAATGTTGCTATTTACTAAAATATTGAACTCTGAAAAATGTATTAAAGACAAATATAAATTATTTTTGTTATAAGCATCAAAAAATTAATCCAATGCTTATTTGGCTTTAGATGGTATGAGATAATTAGCTATATCCAAAACATCACCTGTTTATCTTTAAAAAATGTATTTTTATTCTGAGTGTCATTTTTAGTTACCCATGCCCTCTTCTCACA